TCGCAGAGAGATTTTCGCAGCAACCTCATCGCGCTGAGGTGCGAGAATTACCTCAGAGATCGCGCAACTGCCACATATTATATATCGATTAAGACAGCAGAAAATTTGTAGTTTATTAATAAGATACGATGCAAAAAATATTTCATTTAGCGCAGGCTTGGAATAGGATGGCCAAACATCTAAGCCTAAGGTAGTTTATTAAGGGAGCAAAAAGAGTTAGAGCTGTATCTAGGTGGTGGCACACAGTAAAAGGGATAGTTTTTCTCCTCAAGGAGCTTGATAGTAGGGTGCCATCGCTGTTATACCCTCAAAAAACACAGGATTCGCAGGAACTGTAGGATTCGCAAGATTAGTATGGCCGGTCCCGAAAGAGGGATGTTTTGCGCCGAAATGAGATCATTGATGCGATGCGCAGCTTTAGAGGAGAATATGAAACCTGAAATTACATACCAACAGCTTCTACAAATATTTTTGTATTAAAATGTTGAAATTTGTTACAGAGAAAACCATTTGATAGCAGTGCAAATGTAAAAACTAACAAGGAAACGATACTTGATGTCCGTGGCCTTTTGAGATGAGATGTATACTATTACACTCGTCTTGGAACACTGATTCCGAATCTGACTTCTGTTTCTGCTAATCGCTTCAGAGATGTTATAATGGATCGCGCGGATTCTGGCTGCCCAGTGAAGTGTGGTCGGAGCTGCCAGCCCTGCACGTACACTGTGGTCTAGTGGTTAGTGCGATAGCCTCTTAAGTTGATGCAGGTGCAGATTCGAACCCTTTTGTGTTTTTCAGTTTTGCATGCCTCAATAAACCTCCTTTCGCATCATCGAGCTAAGTGAACGCTCTTATGATTTATGATTTATTTGCCTTTCATATTATTAGAATATGAGGCACCCAAACAAACTGATCTCTTTTAACGTGAGTGATCTTACTCTTTGCCAATTGCCAGTGCCAAGCTTCTTCTTTCTCTCCATCTCGTTAGGACCAGTATATTGAGTTGTGTTATCTTCAGGGCTTCTTGCATTTCATGTTGGTCTTCGTTAGGCAGGCGTCTCACGTTGAATTGGATGTGTGAACTCGTTGTTGGGGTGGAACATACTTGATCCTGCTGTTCCGGGGCTTCCTGGATCAAGGGGTTCGACGTCCGGTAGGGTGGGGAAGAGCGGTCAAAATGACCGACCAGTCGAGGGACGTGTAGAAGATGAACTCCGTGAACGCTCTTACTCTTCAAAAAATGTGGAAATTAGGAAAAAGGATTACTGTTTGCGCTGAATTGTATCCGATGACCATAGTTCAAGTAAATTTCTCGAACAAGCTTAATTGAGGCAATGCAAAAGTAAAAACACAAAAAGAATTGAACCTACACCTGCATCAACTTATAAGGCCATCGCATTAACCACTAGACCAGAAGGTGGCCTCAGGAGAGGCCATTCCAATGACCATATTTCCCTTGAGCAGCCAAACTTGGGTCGAAATTCCCCCATAACTTCTTTCAGAGAAACGATTAGCAGAAACGGAAGGCAGATTCAGAATCAGCGTTCGAAGGCGAGTGTAATGGTATGAATCACGTTTGAAAGGCCACGGACATTGATTATCGTTCCCTTGTAAGTTGTAAATTGATTGTGAATTTTTTTGTGATTTTTTGTGTTGTTTTTTATTTATTTAACTTTTTTGTTTTTGCATATTCTTTGTAATGTATCTTACAAATAAACTACAAATTTTCTGCTGTCTTGATCGATATATAATATGTGGCACTAGTGCGACCTCTGAGAGAATTCTGCACCTCAGCGCGATGAGGTGCGAGGCCGCCGCGAAAATCTCTCTGCGAGAGGTTGCGGACGACGAGAGCGAGCTTACGGTAGCTCAGCGCGGCGTTGGTGCCAGCCCTGGCTGCTGGCTGTGGCACCAGGCGGCTGCCTGGGTAACACTTGCACCCAGTACACAATTACTTGAGTGAAAGCAGCAACTGCTTCGTTTTTGTATAAACACAAAAATTTTTGAATGGGGAAGAAATACGGGGACGATACATATGAGTGTCTGATGTGGTGTGCAATTTGTGTGAGCACGTTGTCCGTGAGATTTTTGTAAACGAATATACGAATTTGCCCCTATTTTAGCCTTCAGTAGGTTTCAGATTCCGGATACAAACTTACGGTTGGTCGAAGCTTGTGCAAACTTTTGCATACCATTTTGTAGGGTTTCCTTTGCTCTAGTACCTTGGAGCCCTATATGAATATAAATATAAATATAAATATAAATATAAAGTAATAGATAAACAAATAAATATAAAGCCTTCTTTTGACTATTTAGGGATCAGAGACATCGAGGTCCAAACATGACCAATTGTTGGAACCAGGGCGTGGCACATGCGGCTTACCAAGCAAGCTGGATATCGTTTTTGGGAGCAAAAGCAAAGGGGTTATCGTTTTTTGTGGTAGCATAGCTGTCTTTCGTATGCGGTCCGCCTGGGGTCCGCCCCGATATGGGGTCCTCCCTCACAAAATGTCTTTACCTTCTCTACCTAAATCTGACCTACATCGCAAACTACAATTTGGTTCCTAAACCGCATCAAATCCCCTCCTCCCCGCTTATTTGAAGCCCCCTGAATATTTTGAATGACAGCGACAATGCTGCTCCAGGCGTGTAGTGCTGCGCCCTGAATACATCATGCCTCCGGGGAATACGAATGCCATCGAGTTTGTTTGATGCTTCCTTGGCGTTTTTTCTCTTTTGCTTTGTCCCGTTTTTCATGTGTTTTCTCTTCTGATATCACGTAGCGAATGTCATACTTTCGTTGTGAAGTTAGGGGGGACTTTGTTTCTTGCAATCCGAGAAGCCACCTCGTGCCGTGCCCTGGTCGAGGCCATTCAGTGGGCTGTAAATCTTTCTCTCCATATTCAAAAGACCTCTAAGAAAGAAAGACAACAACTGTCAGTAGCTAACTGAGATAAGACCTCTCAGTCTTTACTGTTGGTGAATAAACAAAACAGAATTTTCGGACAGCCCGTCAAAAAAGATTGAGAAAACTGAAGTTTTTGCCTTGCAAATCTTTCAATCGCAAAATTTTCCTGGAAAGTCTGCGTAGCACTGCGTAGTACTGGCTTATGGCTACAAGGGTCGGGAATTTTCCTTTAAACGTCATGCAAAGAAACTAGATATGCCAAAGAGAAGTTGCTGCTGCTTTAATTTACTCGCTATATTGCACTTTACAAATGAGCCTTAATTCGAGTGCAAAAGACGACCTCCTACGTAATAACCCTGAAAAACCTTCGGGAATTCATGGCTTTGTTCAGAATGACTTTCTTGTGATTGGATTGTGATATCTGGAAAGGAAAGGTTATAAAGATTTGAAAAACCACAAATGTTCAGAATTTACTTTCATTTAAAGGGTTTTCATTAAATCGCCGCGGCGCTCCCCCCCCCCTCCCCGGAGATGGTGCAGGAGGAGCCAAAGCACTTGCCGCCTGTATCCAAAGGGGAATGGGGAAGGCAGAGGAGGCTCCGCCCATCGCTCCGCCCATGGGATGCTCCCATTGTGTGTTGAGCACGAATGGTAGAGTAGATGGACTACCGGATATTGATCAAATCTGATGGATTAAGAGGTCAAATTATGAATTGGAACTTGCAAAATGAACAGTAAAGATTCTCAAACAGGTTTTCAGGTACCAGGATAATAATAAAAATAGTATCATGTCATAAACCTAATATATATATGAATAGAGTAATCATCTTTCTGATAGTCACCGCTGCCATTTAATTGTTTTTAAATTTTGATCAGATTCGAAATGATGATACAAAGCCTAGAAAATGACCAGGAAAAAGACTGATCCAAAGCAGGAGAACATAGCCGAAAGTGAAGTTTCAGAGTGGTTCTAATAATAACTTTAACAAAGAGACCAAGAAATTCTGGATACTCAGATCAAGAAGAACGTAAAATGCAAATGCGCAAACATTGTTATGTCTGAGAGAAGGCTCATTGAGCTTCACAGCTCAGATTTGAAGTGCGAACCTAATCTGGACGACCTTTACCTTGCTGGCAGTTGTCGAAAGATTAAATTAGAAATCTTTACGCTGCTGGCAGTTATCGAGAGATAGAATAAAAGAAGTGGGCCAATTTCTGATATAAGTAGGGGAAAACCAATGAAAAAGGAACTAAACTCAACATGTCATCTAATGCTAGCTTCCCTTTCTTCTCACCCACCGACTTTCCTGCTGATCTTTTACAAAACGTAAGTCAGAGTTACATGACAGCAATAAAAATTGCATTTACCATGACTTCAGAATTCCTACAGTGAACAGTCATTGTACAGTGAATGGACGGAAATAATACCAACATTCGTGACCGACAACTACTACCTCCAGCAAGAACATGGATATGAAGTGAAAATAAAATTCTATATTTGAGGTAGCGTACACGGAATTTAGTTTCAGTTCGGTACCATGTTCCCCAAACAAATCAAGTGCAGCCAACAAACACAGAATCATGTCTTTCATTTTACAGAGATATTCTTGTAAAAGCGCTGGTTTAGTTTCATGAGCGATCGTCGCCAAACCAATCGTATTTGGATCAAGGTTACGCAAATGAGGTTCACTTCTTTCACTCGAAAAAATTGCATAAATCTCATATTTAGTTTTTCGCCGAACCACTAGCAACATAACCTTACGCAATCCAGCAGGGCTATGAAAATGAGGTGTAAAAGCAAGAAACTAGGTTTGAATAATTAGAAAATTAGTTTCAGGTGTATATGCAGCCGCCTTCCACTCACTTCCGCATCATACATTTGGAGACCAAGTATCACTTGAAATTTCTGATTGCAAATGATTTCTTCTTCAGCTGTATACGTATCCATCGTCTAACGAATACAATTCATACCAAACACATGATAATCAGGTATCAGCAAGATCTAATCCTAAGTTGCAGTGATTTATACTTATTCTCTGATTTTTTAAAATTTCTCATTAGTAGCAGCCATCCGCTCCTGTGTCATTTCACAATGAGACATTTGATAACCAGGTAAGAATTCGCACTACATGAGACGTAACATGGACATTATATTCAGTTGTATATGATGCCACAACAACATTCGATGCAGTCACGTCACGTACAAAGTACTGGAAGCCAGGTATGGGGCTAATACTCAAAGCATATACTTCAACTGGAGTTCTAGGTACTCGCAAAACCCCATTGGATACGCTGACTTCTGGAAAGCGATTCTGGCAATACGGAATCGCCTACTTTTCCAGGAGTCAGAGAGGTAAGTCAGCAAGGAGGACATGGAGTAATCGTGTAAGAAATTCCATGCAGCATTCGATCGTACGTGTTCATGTACAAGAGAAAGAGAGCGCAGTCGGACATCTCCCAGTACATTTGTGTACATTGCAAAAAGGCAAATAAATATGAAGCGATTTTGGTATGTCTATACGAAGATCTTGCAAATTTTTTCGACCTTCTGCTTTCAGGTAAGCGGAGACATGTTTCTGGAAGATCCAGTTATGCTCCGCCATACATGTATACCAGTCGAAAGAACCAAGGATAAAGCCGACAAGCTTTCCTGCGAGGTGTGCAGTCTGCCTTAACAGATAAAAATCTCAAGAGTGAATTTCAATGTCTACAGCAAGTGCGCGGGAACCCTGAAGCGACTCTGCATCCAACAATAAATCATTGGCTTACAATTTTCGACAAGATCGAAATTATGGCTTGGGGAGGTAGTGAGTATTCGCCTTTCTTTTCTGTGCATTCAGCAATCTACAGATGCCGAGAAGAGGAATGCCGTGATGGCGCATTATATGAAGAAAATGGTTATGAAAGCAGACGACACGCTTATAATAGGTAAGAAGGATTTGAGTCATTCAGTAATTTCATTGCAACTGAGCCCGCTGTAAACATCGTTTTAGAGCTATTAGTAGAACAGTACGCGAAGTTACGATGACAAATGTCCCTGAGGTGCTGCGCAATCTCCCAGATGAGCACGTTCTTGCAAGTGCAAGAACCATGTCTGCATATGTATATGTCGCAGACTAGTATCAGGGTCTGTTGTACACATAGAATTTACAAAATAGTTTTTTTCGTTTCTAGCGTGTTGCTTCGCATTTCTTTTCGCGCTCGTTGGAGATGGCATCCACACGATTAATCCTCGAAGTCGACGTGGAGCTGCAGTACGCGTGGACGGGGGGCAAGTGTATACAGTGCATGGGATTTGCCGAGGGGGATTTGAGGTGAAGGCGTACAATATCAACTACATCGACAGATTCTACTGCAGATACCGCTGCTTTACGCCGTCACAAAGAACAAGCGCGAAGAAGACTACGTCACCATCTTTAACAAGTTGAAAGCCGCGATAGAAGAGGCGATAGAAGGATTAAGTCTGGCGCAACCCGGAAGCGCAGTTCAAAGGTGGAGGACGTTGAAAGGGCTTCCATTCTTCCCCACGGAATACTTCCACCACGTTGAAGCGATGAGGAGGCCACCCGTAGAGCGCGAACATCCTGCGTACGGGCCGTGCAAGAAGTTTCTAACCTACTTGCGGAACACCTGGCTCGACGGGCCATTCAAGACGATGTCCAGCGAACAACCAACATCGCCGAGAACTACCACGGGTAAGCTTGCAGCTCTTGCAATTGACTTTTTTATTGAAGTTTCTCATTTCAGAAGGCTCAGGAAAATTCTCGGCAAGAAACATCCACCTCTAGCGCAGCTGGTACTGGCCTTCCGCAGCTTTGGTATCCGTCTTAGGGTAGGAACGAAACGGATGTTCCTTTTTCTTAGTTTTTTATTTTAATCAATACTTTTTCATATAGTTTTTGGTCCTTGTCTTCTTTCCTTTTGTTTTTTCTATCCACCTCTAGCGCAGCTGGTACTGGCCTTCCGCAGTTTTACACTACTGGCAAAGGGAACTTTGGCAAGAATGTTGAGGAGGAGCGAGCCCAAGATGCTTAGAGAAAGGGACAGGATAAGATGGGAGAAGGTGAAAGGCGCCATGGCCTCATTTACGACACTTCGTAGTGAAAATCTCCTCGATACCGTCACGGTAGAGGAGTTTCTACGAAGGATGTCCAAGTATACATCGGACAAGGCAATCTAACGTAAGGGGCTGCGATGGATTTTTTGTGTTTGTTAGTAATGCTTGATGCATGTAACGTTGTGTGACACGTCAATGTGAAGCTATTTGATGCTAACTCGAACTTTAGAGATAATTGGTTTAGTGTAATGCATGCTAAGTTATATTCAGAGTATATTAGAGTATTGCAAGCTTGACTGATGTACAGAGATCATATTTTAGGAGAATGCATGATCAGTCTTAGTGGCAGACTTACTTTAACACGCACTTGCTAATATAACTGTTCTAACAGTCAATTTTGATGATTTTGGACGGTTTTGGATGGCTTTTTGGGCGAGTCTGATTTTGCAATTTGAATATTTTTGATCAATGATTTGGCATCTACTTTCGCTTTTCAGAACACGACTTTTACAAGTTTCTTTTGCGCATTTTTCTTAATCTCTCCCCCCTCCCCCGAGTAAAATATTTATTAGAGTTAATACAAAGAATAAAGATTTTTTCAGTTGAATTGTGACATTCTTCGCTCATCAGACGACTGACTTGCTCTGCAAAGGTCAACTAATTGGCTATCGATTAGGCAAATGCAACTATTACAGTGAGTATCCTGAAAGATTGAGAAAGTTATCTTAGGAAAATGAACAATATGAAGTAAAAAGTTTTCTGCGAAGCCATTCAGGAATTGGAGCAAAACTTAAAATGTCAGAAGAGGAGTTTATGAAGAATTTGGAATCAAGCCGGAGCTCTTACCTCTCTGAAAGTTGTTCATCAAATTTCCAATCTTTGTATTTGTTCTTTTCTGTTTTCTCGACCGGACTACGATTCATATATTAGGTCGTTCCGAAAGTAATGTCGCTTTTTTTCGAATGAAGGCCACTATTCGTGGAATCAACATTTTCAAAAAATCTCAGGAGCATTCGATGCAGCATTTTATCCTCTTTTTAACAGTTCTAATTTCACTGCATAATGTTCAATGAGCTCTCGAAAAATTAGCAAAATCTGCGACTCATGCTTTTTGCCATGGTCAAGTTCGGCTATTTTTCTAAGAATTTGTACCTAACCTCCGAAAAAGCGCAAGTGACAGGTAGATAGAGCAAAATTATAGAACACAGAGTAATGTTTTTCTTTTCCTTAGCTTGCTTCTCAGAGTTTCTACAATCAATTTCTCAATGCCATCAAATTCCATATTTAGTCAAGTCAAACCTCATAGAACAACAACCGTCAAGCGACTCGGGTGTCATTCGATGCAGCTTTTTCTCCTCTTTCTAGCGGTTGTTTTTTGTTTCCGATTCATCAAGTTTTCCGGGATAAAATCTCATAATTCAACTTTTCCAAGGGACCCCAAGGTGTACCTGAAATTTTCAAAAGTTGCTAAACCGAAGCGGTGAATGCTCGTTTGGTTTGAAAAATTGTTGCCAAATCATAATCCATCTTTGTAAGTTTCAAAATCCGAAGACTTTTTGGCGTTTGATGCACTTATGTCTGAGACGAGCCTGCTAAAATTCGGTGGTTCCATCAAAAAATCTCTACAAAACTTATGACGAGCTCTGGAAAGTAGAAAAAAGTTGTGCTGTTTCCTGTAGGGTTTGCTCTATCCATCCATTACTTGGACTCCTTCTGAGGTTTGTTATAAAATTTTAGAAAAATTGTGAAACTTTACCTTCTCAAAAAGCATGGGTTGCAGATTCTGATAAGTTTTTCAGAGGTTATTCAATTTTATGCGGTAATTATATAACCACTAGAAAGAGAATGAAATGCTGCATCAAATGCTACCAGAACCTCTTACACATCTTTGTTCCACGAAATGTGGCATACGTTTGAAAAAAGCGACATTACTTTCGGAACGACCTAATATATGGAATCAATAGTATCTTCGATATAGTATATTCTGTGGTTATTCCATACTAGCCTCTGTACCCGGCTCTGCCCGGCTGTTATAGATTGATTCCAAGATTCTAATCAATTATGGAATCTACATACATGGCATTTTAAGTGGTATATCCAAAATCCTGATCCAGAAATTAATAGCGTTGTCTTGTCTAGTTTCTGCACTTGGAAGCCTTTCAAAAGTTTCGCTTTGACAGTTTATATGGGCAAATTTCCCAAACAGTGAACTAAATATGGCTCCGCACTCTCATGAAGCTGGATGCAATTCCACATGTGCGAGATGGTCATCAAGAACTCACTTGAAAACTCGGTAACCAGTTAGCTCTACCGCGTTCTTCTTGTTAGAATTTAGAATGAGCTTCTCTGCTATTGATTACACTAAAATGTGCCTGGGATATGATAGTGGTTGATAAGACTTCACTTTCATTGCAAAGTGCCGAAATCAATAAATCAATAAAAGGATCCAGCGAATCGCTTCAAAAAGTGGCTTAAAACCATATACGGGGTCAAAAACTTATGTGTGCAAAATTTCAACTCAATCGGTTCACGTGCAAAGGAGTCTATAAAAACATACGGTCGACAGTTGCACAAACTTTAACTTATATATACAGGGTGTCCCAAAAAGGTGTGCACGCTGTTTGATTGTAAATAACTCTCTTGTAGTGAAGTGTTTCGAGAAGCTTTAGGTACCATTTTGTAGAGCGAGGTTCAACTTAGATTTACAGTGTAGAGCGAAACGCCGGTTTTTTTTCTTACTGTAGGAGTACGGTAGAAACTTCAAACATATGGTGTCACTGTGAAAAAAGGGGCCGTTTCAAAAATTTTCAAAAAAATGTGGAAATTTGTGTAATAGGGTTTTTATGGACCCTGAGTTCAATACCCAACTCTTTACAAGGTTGAAAAGCTTTCTAAACGGTGTAATCGCACTTTTTAGGAACACTTAAAAAACGTCTGCTACTGCTTACCTCGCATAATTTTTTAATGAAGCATTAAGAAGAGTTGCAAACTTCACACTTAGAAACAGCAACTCTAGTTAGCCCAGTGTGAGAGCTTTCAGGTTGTTTTGGTTTCTTTTTGGAACAAAATATGGCCTTTCATGGCTCAAAACCCTCTTCAAAGTTTCTACCGTAATCCTACAGTAAGAATGAGAGATCGGCGATAGGCTCTACACTGTAAATCTAGGTTGAACCTCGCTCTACAAAATGGTACCTAAAGCTTATCGAAACACTTCACCACAAAAAAGTTATTTACAATCAAACAGTGTGCACATCTTTTTGGGACACCCTGTATATATAGATTCCATAAAGTACAAGACAACATGCCAAGAATGCCGACGAATACCACGAGGAAAATGAAGTTACTTGCAAAATTTCACGCTTATATAGATAGACATTTCATCGGCATTTATCATTATCACTCGAAAATTGATTTAACATCATTCTTTGGCGAGAGTGGTGCAAAATAAAAGAATGCTAGAATTGGACTGATGTGAAAACATACAAAAGTCTATTCGAAAGATGCGCCTTTCAAAACTGGTCACAAATTTGTTTTTCCTCTCTGTATCTCCACCCCAAGTTTCTAACCTTTTCCTTCAATCCCCGAGCAAAAAAAGCAAAACCCAGGCTCAGCGCGAGGGGCGGAGCTTGGAAGGTTGCCAGATGCTTCCTGGCACGCAGCCAGCTCCTCCCCTTTCCCCCATGGAAGGGGTCAAGGGCTCTGGTTCCTCTTGCACTGCCCCCCCCCCCCCCCAATGAATCGACAAGAGAAATGCTTAGCAATCACAATTGAACTCGTGCATTACTCGTCAGCTCCTCTGACCTAGTTTTTATAAATAGAGGTTCCCATATGCGGTCAATAGTCATCTCGCTCTGGCATACGGCGTGAAAAGGTTTAGTTTGGCTATCGGCTATCAGCTGAGCTAGTGATCCAACAAGATCAGAGCTCGGCACGAGCTGGCACCAGGGAATCTCAAAACGAAGTCCCTTGATCTTGAAAATTTTGTACAAAGTCCCCTTGACCTGTTCTGAAGGCTTTCATTATGTTTTAGAGTCCCGATGAGATATCTGGCACGAAACAAATACAGCAATACGAAGAACGATACAAGAATAAACAGTACAAGATTACAAGAACGACAACGACCGATTGATGAAATGAAATTGACGGATTTCGCGCTGCGTTTGCTTGGCGCGCTTTGTGATTGGAGCAGAATTTTCAACTGCGAAGAAAACCGAGGAATTTTCAGGTGGCTATAATACTCCGAAAAGAAAAACATCATGAAGTCTTTTTTTTCTATGTAAACTTTTACATTGTAAATAGAATTTATGTAAAAAGTATGAAAACTTATGTGAGCAAAGGGTCGGTGCCAGCTCAGCTGCCACCCAGCTGCACGGTGTCAGCTAATTCAGGTAAAAGTTCAGCACAGTTTTCATTCACATATAGGGCTCCTAAACTGCAGAGTCGTTTGCACCAGCGGTCGCGCGACCGCGTCGCGCTCGGGCATCAATGGCGCCGCCTCGATGCCAATGCAAAATGCCCGAGCGCGACGCGGTCGCGCGACCGCTGGTGCAAACGACTCTGCAATTTAGGAACCCTGTAAGTTGTCATAAAGTTTTGAACCATAGTTCGGGTCTCCCAAAGCGCCCTGGCACTCTAGCAAACAGCGGCATGCCTAATTCGCAAAAACGATATCCAGCTTGACTCGGTGCCAGCTGTGCCGAGCCCTGAACAAGAGTCTTGACCTTTGGCTCAGTTTGCTGCAAAGACATTGCCGACTAGATTGCAAATCGCATTACCCATTTTAGGCCTGAAGAAGGCGATCTGCCAAAACGTTAGCCAATCACAACTCCTTATGTTTGTAGCGCTGAGTGGTGTTACCCATTTATTCCTCACAGTTGGAAGGTTACCAACGACAATATTCACTATCAAGACCAGTTATTTCTAGTAAAGGTCCAGCACAGCTTCCATTCACATAAGTTTTCATAAAGTTTTGGGCCAGTTCGTGTCCCCCAAGGCGCATGCACACAACAAATTTGGGTTATACGATTGCGTTCTGTTTGTAAACAAGGCTTTTGTTCGTTTAAGGCAGAATTGAAACTCTCGCGCTGTGTCACCGGCATGTCGGCAACGTACTGACGGCATGC